CAAAGATACAAGAGAAAGATTAGTCTAAAGGACTAATGAAACACAACTACCACAGCCTCCAACAGACCGAGACCAGCACAGCTAGATGATACCTGGCTTCCACCACTGACTGTTCCGACAGGGATCATAATAGAGGATCCCAGACAGAGCTGGAGAAAAATGTAGAACAAAATTCAAACTCACAAAAAAACCAGATTTACTGGTCTGATGGAGACTGGAGAAACCCCGAGAGTATGGCCCCCGATACCCTTTTATCTGAGTACTGACGTCACTCCTGACGTTTACCCATCAGCCAAAGATTAGACAGGTCCGTAAATCAAACAATAGTACATGTAGCTCAACCAGGTATAGGAGACTGAATGAGCACACCAGCCCAGGGGCAAGGATGAGAAAGCAGGAGGGGATAGGACAGATGGATGAATGGAAATGGGGAACTCTTGCTGAAAAAGGAGAATGTTGACACATCGTAAGGTTGGCAACCAACGTCACAAGCAGTATGTGTATCAGTTGTGTAATGAGAAACTAATTTGCTCTGTAAATCTTCACCTAAAGCACAATAAAAACAAAAAATGAAATAGTGTGTTGGTATGAAACAAAAAGGGATGTATCATGCAGTGTATCTAGTAACTAGTAAACTAGTAAGTAGTGTAGCATATTAAGGTTCATGACCAGGGTGTTGCCTTTATGGACTAACAGCTTAAACTCTTGATTCTGCAGTTGAGGACACTGAGCTATCTAGAAGTGAGACAGTGGTGAATAAGACAGAACCACACTGAGTATCTCAGTCCCTGACACATGGTAGAAACTCCGCAAATGTCTGTGAGATTGCAATGAGCCTACTATGTTTAGTCTTCTTTTAGTTGCAAAGATGAACAAGAACCAGTCTATTCTTTGGAGAATTTATATTCTGTGTAGGGGAGATGAAACACATTCAGTAATCATTTTAATAACTAGCAGAACCTGATCATTGTCATGAGATACAAGTAAAGTGCTATGGAGTTTTAAGGGAATGACAGCTCATATATGATGGCTGGGGTAGCGTTTGGGATTGTCTTTAAAAGTTAAGATTTCAGGAGGCAGAGGTGGATAAAGACAACATTAAAATATACATGCCCTAAATGTAAACTGGATACAATTAGAAAACCCAACTGTATGCTGTTTAGAAATACATCTAAAATGAAGGCTTCAGAAATCTTCAAAGTAAATGAAAGAAAACAGATGTATCATGTAAATACTAACCAAAAGAAAGACATAGCTGTGTTACTATATAAGAGTAAACTTCAAAACAAAATACCTGAGTCATCCTTGACTTTTCTTTCTCTCACTTTCAGTCTATCAGTAAGTCCTTCAGGTGCTACTATCAGAAGTTCCCAAATCTGAGATTCAAATCAAAACCAAAATGAGGTATCATCTCACCCCTACTAGAGTGGCTATTATTTAAAAAAAAAAAAACCCAGAAAATAACAGGTGTTGGTAAGGATGTGGGGAAACTGGAACCCTCATTCGTTGCTGGTGGAAAACAGTTTGGTAGTTCCTCAAAAAGTTGAACATGGAGCTACCATATTACTCAGCAATCCTAATTCTAGGTGTGTACCCATAAGATTCGAAAGCAGGAATGCAAACAAACCTGTACACCGCTGTTCGTTACAGCACTATTCACAATAGTCAAAAAGTAGAAACAACCTCAGTGTCCATCAACAGATGAACGGATGACCAAAATGTGGTGTATACATACTGTTATAAATTGAATTGTGTCCCCATAAACTGTGTGTCAGCTTGGTTAGGCCATTATTCCCAGTATTGTGTGGTTGGTCCATTATTTTGTGATCTGATGTGATGATTATCCTATGTGTTGTAAATCCTAACCTCTATGATGTTAATGAGGCAAGATTAGAGGCAATTATGTTAATGAGGCAGGACCAAGTGGACAGGATTAGGTTTATCTTGAGTCAGTCTCTTTTGAGACATAAAAGAAAGAATTCAGCAGAAAGGAGAGGGACCTCATTACCGCCAAACAAGAAGAGCCAGGAGAGGAGCATGTCCTTTGGACCCAGGGTCCCTGCACTGAGAAGCTCCTAGACCAGAGGAAGATTGATGACAAGGACCTTCCTCCAGAGCCAACAGAGAGAGAAAACCTTCCCCTGGAGCTGGTGCCCTGAATTCAGACTTCTAGCCTCCTAAACTGTGAGAGAATAAATTTCTGTTTGTTAAAGCCACCCACTTATGGTATTTCTGTTGTAACAGCATTAGATAACTAAGACACATGCAATGGAATATTTCTCTGCCATAAAGACAAATGAAGTCTTGATACATGCCACAACATGGAAGAACCTTGTAAACATTATGCTGAATGAAATAAGTCAGTCACAAAAGGACAAATATGGTATGAGCTCACTTACTTGGAATAGGGAAGTATATAGAAACCAAAGCTTATTAGTGTTTACCAGGGGTGGGAGAGAGGGAGAAAAGGGAAGTTACTGTTTAGGGACACTGAGTTTATGTTAATGGTGGTGGACTAAGTCGGAAAAGGATAGTGACAATGGTTGCACAGCATGAAGATTATAATCACTGTCACTGAATTAATACATGTAAAAATTGTTGACTTGGCAAATGTTTTGTTATTTATATTCTTACCACACACACACACACACACATATACACATGCACACATGCATGCACAAAACCCAAGGGGAAAAATAATAAAACTCCAGAACTTCCCAAATCTGACCACTTCTTGCACCTTCACTTTTAAGCCCTCCTTTCCGCCTTGTTCAAGGCATCATCGTTTCTTACCTGGGAAGCCACAATAGCCTCATAATAATTGTTCTTTGTCCTTTCACTCTTATCCCACTACAGACTCCTCTGCAGTGTGAATCAGATAGTCAGATCACATTGCTAGCCTGTTCAGAAAGGCTGGCTTCCCATTACAGTGAAGATAAAATCTAAATTCCTGACCATTGTGGACAACAGCTTCCTCTCTCGTCTCATTTTCTATCCCTTCGTCTTGCTCATGTTGTTCCTGAAATGCTGGTTATCTTTCTGTTTCTTGAACCTGCCAGGTGTGCTCTTGCCACAGGGTCTTTGAACATAAACTTTTTCTCTCTGCTTAGAACTCGTATCTTCCACATACTTGTATATTTATACAAATCACTCCATTACTTCAGTTCTTTGTGCGAGTGTCACCTCAGAGAAGCCTTGACTGCCTATCTAAAATGCTGTGTCACACTCTATCCGCTTATGTTTTTCTTTATATGGCACTGATTACTGCTTAACCCTACATATTAGTTTTTTTTTCTCCTTTAAATTGTCTTTTCTATTTGAATGTAAGTTCATGAGATAAAGATTTCTGTTTGGGACTTAAACTCCCTGTGACTAGAACAGTGATTGACGTATGGTTGTTGTTGTTAGTTGCTGTGGAGTCTAGTCCGACTCATGGTGAACCCGTGTGTGCAGAGTAGAACTGCTCCATTGGGTTTTCAAGGCTGTGACCTTCTGGAAGCAGATTGCTGGGCCTGTCTTCTGAGGTGCCTCTGAGTGAGTTCGAATCACCAAGCTTTCAGCTAGTGTTCAAAAATTTGTTGAATGGTGAAATGAATGGACAGATCTGTTATCATAATATCAACTATGTACTATACTCTGACTTAAAAAAATTAAAATCACATGCAGTAAAATTCACTCTCTTTGGTTATGGTTATATCCTGACTTTCAGTTCTAATTCTCCATTCCTAATATTTTTTCTGAGTGTTAGTTCTCCTTTTGTGGCTTTTTAAGCAAATGTAGCTTCCTTAAATTGTCATTCTGCTTCCTCAAACCTATTAAAATCAGATTGAACAATAATGACAATAAAAAACCCATCGTAAACAACTTACCAAATTGAAAACCAAATAACTGTTCTTGCAGCATTAGTTTTGGTTAGTTATGTTGGTGGATACCCATTTGCACCATCTAGAAACCCCTTGATTCTCTATATCTTTCCTCACCCCTGCTATCCTGTGCTACATACATATTCTTCATCTTCTCCCTAGTTTTACTTATTGTATTTATGAAAAGTTTCTTGAATGAATCTGTTCTGTCCTTTTCTCCTTTACTCCAGGTGTCGGCTGTCCTTGACCAGTACTAATACGATCTTTTAACCTGCCTCTTTATCTTTGCTTTCTTTTGCTTTCCATTTTATCTGCATTTTGCTACCAGGATTGTCCTTGTGTTTTTTTTTTCCCCCTCACGTAGAATCCAGATTATAAGGTATCAAGGGCTGATATGGCTCCTCTAACATCGTCAGGGACTCAGGTTCATTTCTTTCTGTTGCACTGTCCTTACCAAGTAGCTTCGTCTTAAGGTCAAAGATTGCTGCTGACACTCTAGCTGTCATGCTTGTTTTTGTTAGGAAGTAATGGAAGGAGCAAGAGTATCCTCTTGGCTAAATCAGCCCCCTTATAAAAGAGCCTTCTAGGAATCCCAGTTCAGTGACTTCTACTGATACCTCATTGGCCATCCCTAACTGTTGGATAAGATAAGAAAGTCTTCTAATGGGGGTACATGCTTTTAGTGAGTTCTGTTAGTAAGACAGAAGGGAGGATGGATATGGGAGGATATGGGATAAGAAACCGGTACTATCTGCCATGCCTCTGGTCCAGCTGTTAGGAAGCTTTCATGGTTCCAACATACTATTCACTCCTTTGCTTCCAGACTTTTAGTCATGCTTTTTTGTACTGCCTTAAATGCTCTTTCTCTCCTTCTCTACCTGGTTACCTCCTGCTTGTTCTATAAGATTAGATTAAATGTGAACTTTTATGTGTAATTAAATGTACTTGAATAAATAAGCAATTATAGAATACAATCATGAAAAAAAATTGTCTTGATCTGGAGACAAGCTGTAATATTTAATTCTCCTTCTTGTTTCCCTAACCAAAAAACTTTATTTTTTGATATATTCTCTAATATATGTGTATATATTTTAAATATATATTAAATATATAATATTTGAATATAATTTTTTAAAGGTTAATTGTGTCAGAGAAGAAACATCAAGATACTGTGGGAAAGAAAAGGATTTGATGAAAGCATATTTATTCAGGTAAACTAATACTTCCACAATACCTAAGTATATAAAATTTCACTAAGTGTATAAAATTCTAATAATGTTATATGTAGTGGAGGTCATATAATGCTTAGCAAAAAGTCAAGTAATACATGTTATATTTGCTGCCTAACCTTGTCTGTGCTTTAGCTTGTTTATAAAGTGAGGAGAATAAACCTGCCACACAGAGTTGTTTTAAATATTAAGTGAGAATCTTATGTGAACTCCTATTACAAATGCCTGTTAAGTAAGCATTTAGTAAATTAAGTGTTAGGAGTAGATGTATCAGGTTTATGTTTGGATGTGAAATAAATGTACTTTTTTTTTTGAGGGATCTACCAATGTCCAGGTTATAGATTCCTTTGTATTTGGATCTGCTAATATGTTGGAAGTTTCTCAAATCCTTTCCTACCCTTGAGATTTTGCTAAGGAAGTGGGGAAAGGTCCCGTTTCCTCAGGGACCTACTGTTGAGGAAACTTCATTTTCTTTCCTACTCCTTCACTTCTCAGCCAGTTTGGGAATCTGTGTGTGTATGTGACAGGGAGGTTGGTAGGAAGCCTTGTTTGGACTCATGTTTTCTTCCAGTTTTTTTACAAGGTCCAGGGCCTAACCTTTTCAGAGTCAACACATTTATTGAGTGTGTATTCTGTGAATATTTGTGTATTATGTGCCAGCACTCTGGTACATGGGATACATGGATAAGACTCTAACGTCAAATAACTTACATCCTACTGTGCTAGATAGACAAGTAAATTAAATTCTAAGAAGATACTTCTCTAATGCATTTTTAAATTTTTTATAGGGGCAACATATTACTCAGAGAATTTCCTACTGATAGTTTATTTGATGTGAATGCCATCGTTGCTCATGTTCTCTTGTAAGTACAGGAGGTACCTGCTCACTTATTTACTTGTTATTTATCTATTGATTTCACTTAAACATCTGCAATCCATTAGAGTATTTTAGGGTTTCAGCATTATATTTGTAGGCACCAATTTCACAAGAATTGTTGGCCTGTCTTCCCATATAAAACTAAAAACCGGTTGCCATTGATTTGATTCCGACTCATGGTGATCCAGTATGTGTCAGAATAGAACTGCACTCCATAGTGTTTTCAGTGGTTGATTTTTCAGAAGTAGATCACGAGGTCATTTTTCTGATTCGCCTCTGGGTGGATTGGAACTGCCAGCCTTTTGGTTCGCAGCCAAGTGAATCGACTGTTTCCGCCACCCATGGACTCCTCTTCCCACATAGAGAATCTAAAGTTTCTTTAATGGCAGAGGACACAGAAACATGTAAATGTATCCTGACCACAGGGTCATATAATTGCTTTTGATTCTATCTGTCGAGTAAGGTTTTCACCAGATAAGAAGCTCATCTTCACTATTGCCACTGGGTTTTTTTTAATTACCTAGCTTCCTTCTTACCCCAGCCTGATTTTTTCTGGAGTCTGTTCCAGAAACAGTTCACATAGTTTCAGGACATGCCTGAGTGTTTACTGAGAGAGAGTGTGAATCAAAGTTTAGTGTCCCTTGATGGCATCTTTAGGTCTAGGATTCAGGAATTTCCTGTAATCTACCCCTGTTGAGGTGTTACTCTCTTTGGTGGCAGAGACAGAAAGTGTATGACTTGTTAAGGAGACTAGTTCACATGGACCTTTCCAGTGGAATGTTGTTGCAGCTTTGTTGTCCACTAAGACCTTTGCTAATATTGACTGTGTTTTTTTTCTGCTTGGCTCCCCTCTTTTCTTTCTATCCCATCTACTTCTCACAAAAATTGGGTGAAAGTTAAATTATGTAAAACTCAAAAATTATAGGTGAAAACTTGTGGTTATTACTTTGCAAATGGATACTTTTAAATTTCCATTTCTAATAATATATTAAAGAAAGGTTTTTAGAAATCCCTGAAAACCATAATCCCCGAAGGTTGTAGATTAAGAAGCCAGCTGTAATGAGTGAAAGATGACCTTTTGAAGAAAGAATTTCAGAGTTATTGGGCTGCCTTGGAAGTCCTTTCCTGGGATGCAGTAGGGGTGGCTGTCTTGAGGGTAGGGGGTCATCTAACACTTAGTAAAAAGTCCAGTTAATAGATAATGATAGTTGTCCTCAGAAAGCTTACTGATTTCTGCTCTTTTTCCAGTCGATATCCAATGACTGTATTTGATCCAGAAATGATGTTGAAGAACCTTCTTCAAGCAGTAGTGAAATGATAAGATTGTCTTTCCCTATAGTATGAATCTAAGTTTGTTTTTTTATTAGGGCAGTCGTTAAACAGTCAATCAAAATTTATTGGCATTTCCTCCATTTACAAAAATTGATCAACACACATATTAAAATATGTTCGTTTCAACTAACATGTCAGTTTTTTTTGACACAAATTTACTACTTAGCCTGATACTCAAGGAGAAGAAATATTTGCAGATAATGTTTGGATTGTTTTTGTGTTTTTCGAATACTTGTACATGAACTGATATCTTGCATTTGAGAGTATTTGTATTGTCTTTTTTGGTTTGCTTGTTAAAAATAGGTAATTCATGCTCATTATTTTCTCAAAACATTTGAATTTTTCTTCATGTAGAATGTTTTGATTGAGACCAGTGACCCACAATTGTACTTGAGCTTTACTTCATTGTTAACAGGAAGATCAAGGTGATAGATAATTCCTTATTATCAGAATGTAGAAAAATGCAATTGGTGAAAAAAATTAAGTCAGTAAAATCTGAGATTAGAATAATAAGTATAAACTTAGACACCATTTACACAGTTAAAGAATTATATTTTTGGACCATTAAGGCCTACAATGTAGCTTTTTTTTGGCGGAGGAAATTTTTAATATTCCAAAAACATTATTGATTAAAAATGTACTGACTTGTTGGTCTATTAAAATTCTTTTAGATTCTCCAGGATATAGTAAATGAAATAAACCAAATGCTTAGGGTATAGCATAGTACCATGTATGTAAGACGTGGATGTTAAGTCCAAAACAGTAAAAGATCTGAGATGTTACCCTATTTGTGTTACCCTAAAAAATTTTATACATATATATATTTAACACCAGGCTTCTGACCTTTTAGCAATAACAGCAACCAGGGTAACCTGGTAGAGCTAGTTCCCCATGCCCAGTCTTCACAGGATAACAAGATGAGAGCCAGAAGGTTACACTTACACATACAGTGGAGTTTGTACCACAGGAGAAAACCTTTCAAATTATGACTTTCTGAGCTTATATAGGAGCTTGCACATCTACTTCTTCCCTCCACAGAGAGAGAATGCTTATCTCTACCCCTAAATATAAGTATTTTGCTCTGGAGAAAATAAGAAAGGTTTCAGTCCCCTTTGGGTAGGTGCTGGAGCAAAGGAGAAAAAGGAGACAAGCTTAGAATGTAAAGAGAAAATGACTTTAGGGGAAATAAATGAGACTTTGTTCATCTTTAGGTCCTGCTAATTTCTGTGTTCAGGAAGCTCAGACTGTGCAGGAACACTGAGAAATCCAGGGATGATTGCCTTCTAACAGAGGCATATATAAATATGTGTATATGGCATAACTATTTCTGGGTTTCATAAGAAACTGATGTATTGGTTGACAGGAATGGAATGGGGTGGCTTGGGGGAGGAGAAGTTGCAGGTAGATTCTTCACTCTTTAACTTTTTGGGTACCTTTTGAGTTTTGAAACATATAAAGTATTACCAATTCGCAAAATATATGAAATTTAGGTTGAAAACAAGAATTTGGATTTGAAGTCTAAAATTTCTAACTCCACTTTCTAAAATATTCATAATCCAAACTGATGAAATTGAGTGGTTTGCTAACTATGTGAGGAAAAATTTACCTCATAGCTTCTAGATGGGATTAAGAAGGGTAATATTTTAAAAGAGAGAAGTAAAGCAGCAATCTTTCTTTTTTAATTGAGAACATCATATATCTAACCAGTCTAAGGCCAAATTAGCTAGAGGTATAGGAGATTGAGGCACTATAATCTCAAAATGTAGATTGGAAGATTGTACAATACATCAAGAAACCAGGATTTACTGAAGATTTGAGTCCTCATTCCTTGCCATTGTGTGATCTGAGCAATTTATTTTTTCTGATTGCTAGTTTTCCTCATCTTTTAATTGTTATAATAATTACAGCCTCATGAGATTGTTATGAAGATCACATAAAGTAACTCGTGAAAATACATTGTGGATTTTACCTAATGCTCTACAAAAGTTAGTTGTTTTTTCCTATGTAAAGCAGGAAGCTTCATTTTGCAGTTAAGAAAAAAAGCACTCCAAATTCAGATAACTACTTGTGGTTCTGTTTCAAACGTAGTGCTAGAGAAGTGGGTTCGTTCAAGTTCGTGCTGCCACAGTTGGTTGGGGGTAGTTGCCTTGAGGCAGCAGTTGCAAAGAAAGATCATTGTTTTTTAAGTAGTCATTGTTAACTCTTAAAAATCATCAAGTGAAAAAGCAACAGGGAAGGATTTTCCAGTACTGTAAGAAACAATGAAATCTCATTAATTGTTAAGATATGGTACTTGATGTTCTTGTGATTTAATATTTTGTCAGAAAATGGATTCTTTTAAATTAACATAAAATATGAACTTCAGTATTATAGGGACTTTTTTAAGTATCATTGTTTCTGCTAATATATTATTCTTTAACCCATATTGTAGAGCCTGGGTATTGAGTCTTTAGGAGATGTTACTGTAGAGCTTTTGGGGAAAGCTACTTTTAGAGTTATTTTCCTCTAAATAAAAAAGGTCAAGTGGCCTACTATTATGAAAGTAGAGTCAAGTAGACTACCTTAGTTATTTTTCTTTTTGACACTTACTCAATTCTTGGCCATATACCTTGTCTACCTCATGATAATGATTGGAGAGTCTCAAGGAAAAGGAAGGCTCTTCTAGGGGCAGGAGGAGCTCCCAAGTCAGAGCTTCCCTGGGACATCTTACTCTATCATTAGAGACAGAAAATTCCAAGACAGATGTTCTTTAACCCATTTCTATCATTATTTCTCCCCTTTGGGACTGGATTGAAGGAGCACAGGCTTGTGGAATAGGTCCTGGAGATCCCTAGATGTCCTGATACTCTGGAAATTAATATATTTTAAAAATATATGAAAGCTAGGAAGCCGTTGGGGAAAATCACAGAGATCATTAGATTATGAATGTCATTAGCTTTAGTTATTGTTGCTTCATGGATAATGACTGCTTAACGATCTTTGGGACATTAGGCAATGTAACCTCTCTAAGCCCATGACCTTATTTGTAAAATGGGGTTAATGATAGTACCTGTCTCAGATGGTTGCCATAAAAATGAAACGACAGTGTTATTGGGAGGGTTTTTAGTTATAAGACCCAGCATCTGAGTCTTCCTGGCTTAAACAGAAAAGGATCTGGAGGCTATCTCAGGCTCAGTAGAAGCGCTGGATAACTGCACTGAAAGGTTATGTAGCCCTGAATTATAGTTAAAATCATAACACAGAACTAGTCTCGGGAGTACTGCTGCATTACTGCTGAGCACTGGATGCCACGGTTTGCATTGCCCCCACTGGGGGCTGTCATTCATACTGTTGTCACTGCTGCCTTTGAAGCTGACTATTATTGCTGCCCCTGCTTCTCAAAATAACTCTCTACCATCCGTGATTCTTTGCATTATGAACTCCTGGCTCATATTCGCAGGCAGGTGATTTTGGGCCTTGCAACAGGGAGCCTGGAAAAGCAAATTGATGATATTATCAGCTTCTGTAATGGGACTTGGGCTTTGCCCACTTTGGGGCAGTGTCTGACCTCCTCTAACTTCACAAGGGGGAAGGAGAACCAAGATCAACAGCCCAAGGCTGATTCGTATGAGGTGAAAGTCAGACATGCCTCCTTTGTTAGCCATCTTTACCAAC